TTTCATCTATCCCTTATATATGGTAATGCTTACTATGTGTCAGGCACACTCCTAGGCATTTACAGGTATTATTTTATTCAATCCTCATAATTATCCTATAAGGTACATACTATTAATCCCATTGTACAGATAAAGAAACTGAGGGTCAGAGAGGTTAAATAACATACTCAATATCAATCAGTTAGCAAATGTCTGAGTTAGGATTTGAATCCAGGTAGTCTGGTCTTAGAGTTCTTATCTTGAATCACATTCCAAGGGTCCTAACCTTTGAATCCTTGCCCCGCCCCCACCCTGTACTCTAGGTGAATGATCAAAGTGGACCCTAAGTTTCACTGAATAGGCAAGGACCAGCAAAAGGGATTTGTATCTGACCTGGTGGAAGGTGGTCCCCTCCAGCCGGACACCATCTCGAAACCATAGCAGCTCAGGGATGGGGCGGGCATCTCCACGGCTCTGACAGGTCAGATTTGCAGGAACTCCAACAACCAGAGACACAGAGGGGCCGCCCAGCACCTGGGGGGCTTCTGGAGGCACTGTATGGTAGATCTTGGATCAGAACTGGATCCTGGGCCCAGAGACCCTCATCTTCTCAGCTCCAACCAACCACTTTCCTGGTTTTTCTGAATTCCAATACTCCTAGCTAGTACTGGCTGCAACCCTTGCCCCCAGCTCTTAAGGACAAGTGGGCTGGATCCTCACCCAGTACGTGCAGTTGGGCTGGTCGTGATCGAAGACCTGCTTGTGTAGCCTGACATTCATACGATGCTTCATCCTCTAGCTCCACTGGCCTAATGTGGAGGTCATGCTGGCCACTGGCTGCATTCCCAGATATCCAGTACCGGGACCACCCTAAAGTCAGGGGAAAGGCAGTCACACCACAGTTTGAGCTCTTGACCTCTGGTCTTCATCCCCAGATATACCACACCAAAAAATGACCCACACATTCCATGGTTAGACACTTAAAAAGTGTGCTGTAGACCCAGAGAAATAAACCCCATTCCCATTGCAGAAAATGTGGGGGTGATAAAATCAGAAAGGAAAACAAGAAAATGACCGCTATAAACATAAGGTTAGCACCTACTTCTGGGCTATGATGGTGGAAAGGAATAAGGGGCATTTGGGGGGAGCTAGCAATGACCCAAGGTATTGGTTACATGACTTCTATAATTTATGTTTTCTGCACTTTACGCATTTATATAATATCTTATAGTAAAAAAAAAATAATCCCAAACTCTATGAGTCACCCCCAAAGAAGCATCTCAATAACCCTGACTCCCAGTGTTTACCTGATCCCATCAATTTCCCAAATTTGAAAACGTCATAATAGAAACTTCAGATACAGCCCAAGCCTAGTAGTCCCACTCTAGTGCTAGTGCTCCCTGAGTAGAGGACAGCCTCACCTGGCAGGTCCCTTTCTCCCCCTAGAGCCAGCCCGTCCTTAGTCCACTGAACGAGACCCCTGTATGCGCCCAGAACACAGGGCAACCGGGCTTCCTCCCCCAGCAGCACCACCAGGTCCTCAGGCTGTTGCAGGAAATGGGGCGACCGGCCTAGGAGAATGGGGAACAGCAGATCTGAGCTTAGCGCATTAAAGAACTCCCTCACTCAGGACCCAGGGGTCCAGTTCCCAACCTGCTCGCTCTTTGGATTCTGAATTCAGAATTCTCCTCCCTCAGACCCAGGAGTCCCAGCCCCAAAGCGGTTGTCGGCAAACAATCCTCCCCATTTTCGTCCGCTCCGGTCTTGGGTACCTGCACGCCCTCTAACGCAGAAGAGGAGGACAAGGAGGGCGGGGACCAGCATCCTGAGTGTGTGTCCCCCAAGGTCCACAAGACTTGCTGTTGCACTGGCTTCGCTCCAATTTCC